GTTCTCCATCAATAACACCCTCCCTCCTTCTCTTCCCTTCTAACTTCAATCAGCCTTTATCTTGACCAAAATTCAAACAGAAAAATGACCCCAATTTTGAATTCTTCTTGAACTAGAGTTCAAAATTTGGGTAGTTTCTTCAATGGAGATTTTGGACCATGTTTATGAAACTTATTTGGATTATTTGGATTGAAAGAAAAATAAAATTGATAGTGGATATTGAATCCGGTGGTAGTGAAGGGATAAATTTGGTGGTGGGTTATAATTTTCATGGTGATTGCTATGAGCTTTAATTGTTAAAATAAGTGGGTTTAGTGGTTATGGAGTTGGTGTTGATAATAATGAAGAAGAAATCAAATGACATGAAATTTTTATTTTTTTTATAGATCTGATCATTTATTGACATGGCGCTGACATAATGATGACTTGGAGGCCAGTGTAAAATACCTCCCATCATGTGAGTACTGGCTATATAGGTTTTAGGTTGTGTTAAGGGTGTGTTTATTACACTTAAAAATAATTCAGGGGGGTAATAGGACTCATGTATACTTAAGGTGTGTCGCTGGGATTTCGCATATAACTGAAGGGGCTACTTGTGCATTTTTCCTATCAATACCTTACTAGTTAATGACTTTGTCGTTTAGCCTTCAATTCACACTTTACAGTGACTTTGAGTTCACAACTTCACATTATACAAAACATCAAAACCTAAAGTAAAAACCCTGTTCATTTAATTTCTCTTTGTGTTATACTTGTATAGTTCTTTTCATGTTAGTTATTATTGTTTCTATTTTATAAGTATTTGTAAGTTACATTATTGTCTTGTTGCATCAAATTGTTGTAGAAGTCGTGTTTGTTTTAGAAGCATTTTCTTATTGGTTAAACCGAAAACCGAACCGTAAAGGACCAAAATCGATAAACCAAAAACCAATAAAGATATCTTATTGGCTTAGTGTATTTAAAAATCAAAAATCGATAAACCGCACCGATAATACATAGAATCGAACAAAACCAACCGATGCACACCCCTACTTGTAAGTAACAAAATGGATAAATTAGCTAACTAGTTAAAATCTCTAACATAATTATTAAAAACATCTACACTAATGGATAGAATCATATTTTCTCCGTAATAAAGAAAACTCAATCTAAAAAGATAATCATCAATTTTTATTACAGGATGTTAAGATTATTATATTTGATTAGGTATGTTTAAATCTATTTTTTCCAAAAAAAATTGTATCAATTCTTTCAATTATCACTTGCAATTTTAAGTTGTGCATTTAGTGTAATGCAATAAACAAAGATATTTATGTGCAAAAGCATAGTTACGTATTGTGTATTAACTTCTTTTCATGATGTAAATGTAAAGTCTTTGAATTATTTTTGGAGTAATTTATATTTATGACTTATATGGCATTTAACAAAAATGTGACGCAATATAGAAAACGAAAAGTTTTCTAGGTAACTTTATGTAACATTTAATTAAAATAATTTTGAGCAAATTATTTGTACTCTCATTTTATTTATTTTAGTTTTGATGAAATGCACACATTTCGTTTAGACCACATACATAAACAAGAGTTACAAATTTTAAAAAATGATAAGAAATAGTAATATCTAAACACAAAAATGCGCATAATATTTTTCTTGCTATACGATTAAAAAAAGGAATTGAGGTTTCATTATTTTTCTCCCATAAAACTTGCATAAAACTACGATATACATTTTTGCCTTAACTTTTTCCACCGTAACTTACATTTTATTTCTTAAGTTTCAAAAGGAACTCAACATAATATCTTTTAAAGATAAAAAGAAGATTTTCAAAACATGTTTACCAACTTCCCTTGAGCCCATATAGCAGTATTCTACTTTATTGTTTTGGTTATTTACCATTTCAATTTTATAATATTTATATATTTGTTGAATATAAAATTTTCATATTTTTGTATGTTTTGCGTTATTTTAATTATTTAATTATACGTACACACTTTTAATGATATATCTTTTTTATATATCATATGTACACACTTTTAAGAGAGAGAGAGAGAGAGAGAGAGAGAGAGAGAGAGAGAGAGAGAGAGAGAGAGAGAGAGAGAGAGAGAGAGAGAGAGAGAGAGAGTCTTTTAAACATAGAAGGTTATATCTGTTTTAGATATACAAAAGGAAAACTATGTATATATATTCACAACTTTTAATGTATACAATTTCTTTATTTATAAATTGGACATAAAATGTTAGTCCACAGCATTTTTGTGTTTATCATCTTAAAATTCTTATGTAATTTTTTATTTATTGGTCATTTGTTTCTATTGTTATTAATATATTGCTTTATTTAACTCTTTTTTTTCATTTTGAATAATATGATGACAAGTTCATCTTGTATTCTTATTGCTTTTCGCGTTAAATTGGGTTAATATTACAATTTTTTATGGTAAAAGTGGAAGGTTTTAAATTCAAAATTAAATTATGAAAATGCCCTTCTCTACTTAATTTAAAAATTACTTTTTACTAACTTTTCAAATTAAATCAATAATGACAATTAATAAATTATATATTAGAAAGTTTATCTCAAGGGAAAAGGGTTCAAAACACACACAAACTTTGATCGAAATTGTTGTTATACACTCCAACTTTGTGAGGGTTCTATGACCTTCCTAAACTATTTTTAGTGTATTATTGTGGTTATTATCAGCTTAGTTGGATGAGCAAGTGACCAACACTCTCGATTAGCACGTCAGGGTGAAATTAAAGTAAAATGAACCCCTTTATTTGCCATGTTGCAATCCACATCATTCCTTTTTTTTCATTAAATATCCTTAATTTTACCTGTTAAGTTAATATTATTTTTTAATTAGGGAATATATACAGATGTCAATTTTTAGTTGGATTTTCCTTTAATAAATTACACTTAATTATAATTATCATTAATATTTCTTCTTCATCAAAAATTCAGTCGCTTCACTGTGTCGATCCCAACAACAGAAAACTCTGTCGACGCCGACAACGAAAAACTCAATCACAACAATTATCAAAAATATAATCACCACCACACGAGTACCATGTACCTCCCTCAATCGTAACAACTACCTCCACACAATCGAAATTGCAAATTTGCAATGAACTGGATCTACAAATTGTACCATTTCCAAATTTCGTCACCACCGAATCGTCATCACTTCACCATCATCACACAAAAAAAAAACCTCCATCACCACCAAAATGACAAAGACGACCACAAAGTTTTAGTTTTTTTAGAAAGATAGGAAATTTATATGAAAATTTATAGCCGAAAAAATTCATTACTCGTTAGAAAGAAAAACTCAATGTATATATTGGGTTTTCTACTGATTGAATTTCTTAAAGAAATTTTTGTTGATGTAGTTTAAAAGGATGTTTTTGTTGGATTTTAATGTGAAAATCTTCATGTAAGGATCTAAATTGAAAGGATGGTGTAGTGGTAGAAGAAGGTATAAAAAAATAAAGAAAAAATAGGAAAAGATTTGAAGAAAAAAAATGATCAATACAGTGGCAGGCGTGTGTACCACCTTTTGGATAAAAACTTGGTTTTGACCTTTAAAAGAGGTAATAATTCCACTTCAAAATAATACTGGGGGGTCATAGGACCCTCAAAGTTAGAGTGTGTAACAACAATTTCGGTCAAAATTTGTGCGAATTTTGAACCCTTTTCCCTTATCTTAAAATACTCAACTTTATTATATTAGCTTTTAATTGTATGTAATTTATTCAAATTAATATCTTTAAACTCTCATGCATTAATGACACCTTCCACTAATTATAAATGAGTTTTTCTAAAGCTATTTTAAATAATTTATTATTGCAAATTTTCATATGTTACATGGACGAGCTTGATGGTACACAATAAGATAAAGATATTAGAAACATGAGTTAAGATTGTATAAATTTAATATAATAATAGGGGTAAAATGTGCGACGTACTTTTCCAGAACTAGTAATAATAAAAAATTAACATCAAACAAAGGTGAATTTTGTAAGTATAAAATAATCGATATTCATGTTAGATAAATAAATTAAAATAGTAGCCACTATATTGCTAACAATGGTAATTATGGTGTACGAAAAGGATATGCCAGAAGAACAAGTGAAGGGGAGGGTTAAAGGTTGGGTCGTTGAAGTGACATGCCACATGACGTCCATTTATCAAAATATAGGTATCATATAGGATTGAGAGTCTACATTAAACACTCCCAACGAGAAGAAGCATATTTGAATTTAAGTTTTAACTGACAACACAAATATTTTTGTATGAATATATAATAATAATATAAAAGAGGGTAAAGTTGATCTTTTTCTCGAAGTAAATGGACAACTTTGACGGCTTATTACTATAATTTGGAAAAAAATTCAAAATGAAAAAATATAAGGTTTTTGTTATAAATATATTTATAGATTATTGAGAATGTCGATTTAGTTTTTCTTTTTATATAAAAAAAATAATACCACTTTTATTAAAGTAAAGAAATACTACTAATTATGTAAAAAATCTAGAAATCACGTTAATTATTAACTAAAATATGAATAAAAAATTATGATTAAAAAATAACTTATTTAAATTTCAAATTCAAAAAGAGTATTTTGAATTAACCAAAATACCCTCCGGCATTGCCGTGAAGAAGAAAGAAACCTATTGGAGCCAAGGAAATGCCCAAATGGGATCTGAAATCTATGCCGAATTCAATTAAAGATTCAATTTTTACACTACCCATTCATCCATCAGTGAAAATCTTGGCTTTCTTTAATCTATAGCCCCAAATTTATCAATACCCATCTTATCTTTCCGGATTGTGGTTAATGGATTGATTTTAAATTGTCTTATTCTATATGTATGTTGACGAGTAATTCCGATTTCATATATGGATTTGGCTAGGATGAGTTTTGTGATGATTATAAGGTAGTGTGTATAGTTACAATTCACCAAAATGGCAGTGTGTGTAGTGTTGAGGTCAAAATATATAGTTTAAAGAGTGATTCTCAGAGTTTGGGATAGGATGCGTTCCGTGAGTTTGGGGATGTTTTTTAATTGGAAGCTTCATTGGACTTGGTGAGTACAGAGGTTGGGGGGAGACCTGGAGCATCGTTTCTATTGAGAAATGGGAAGGTGGAGCTGCCTTGCGTTGGAGAAGAAAATTTTCGTTTTAAGCTACGAGTGTTGGAATAAAGCTGATATTCTGCTTGTTTTTGGAGCACCTGGGGTGATACAGAATCAAGAAGAGATACACCACCGGTTATCAAAAAGATATACGATCAAAGGGACGATACAGAATCAAGAGGAGATACACCATCGGTTATCAAAAAGATGTACGATCTAAAGATTGATTCGATTAGATATGCACAAGTTACTAACCTAAGAATCTTCCACAATGACAAAGCAGGACAATCAAACCTTATTCTCCAAAAGCTAAAAAAATTTGGCAACCAAAATGGAGTTGGGGGAAAATGAAAACACCCATCAAACCCAAAACGGAGCAAACCCATTAACCACCATTCTGAATTTCCATCAACTTCGGTGCGAGATTTCCAATACCCAAATGACATCTGAAGCCTCGGATCCACCGCCGCATGGGAGCAAACCCTCAAACTTCGCTGAATTTTCATCAACTTCAATGAACAATTCAATCTTGACAATCCCATTTCTGCCGGCAGAACTCATCATTGAAATCCTCTCAAGGCTTCCTGTGAAATCTCTCTTGAAATTTAGGTCTGTTTCGAAATCTTGGCTTTCTATAATTTCTAGCCCTAAATTTATCAAAACTCATCTTAGGGTATCTATTGATAACAAGGAGTGTACTCACCATAGGCTCTTGATGAAATTGTATCGGGCTAATAGCAATCTTAAGGACTGTTCTTTTAGCTCTTTACTTTACAATGAATCTGTTATTGAGGCAAATGACTTGAATTGTCCCATGGAAAACTCCGGTGTATCTTTTTGCATTGTGGGTTCAATCAATGGACTGATTTGTTTTGCCGATGGGACAGGAGACTTGTTCTTATGGAATCCAACAATTAAAAAGTACAAGAAATTGTCTCATCGTAGATTGACAAGTAATACCAATTTCATATATGGTTTTGGATATGATGAGTTCTGTGATGATTATAAGGTAGTATGTATTGTTGCAATTTACCAACATGGCGGTTATTCTACTGTTGAGGTCAAAATATATAGTTTAAAGAGTGATTCTTGGAGAAATATGGATGATTTAGGGGATAGGATGCGCTCTAGGACTTCGGCTACGTTCGTAAATGGGAAGCTTCATTGGACTACTTCTTGTGGTCTTGGCGAGCTTAGAGGTCGGGGGACCTGGAGCATCGTTTCTATGGATATGGCTGATGAGAAATGGAGAAAGATAGAGCCCCCTTGCTTTGGAGAAGAAGATTTTGGTTTTAAGGTAGGAGTGTTGGGAAATAACCTTTCTGTACTTAGTATGAACGTCCTCCTCACTCGCGTAAATATATGGGTTAAGGAGGAGTATGGGGTTAAAGAGTCCTGGACAACAATGTATACCATAAAGTGTCTCAACGATCTTGACAGGCATTTTCTTTACCCATCATGTTACATGTCAAATAAAGGTGACACTCTTCTTGTTTATGTAACACCTGGAATGATACAGAATCAAGAGGATACACCATTTGTTATCAAAAAGATATGTGATGATCCGATTAAATATGTAGAGGTTACTAACTTTGGTGCCCGTTTGTCGAATGAAATCTACATTGAAAGCCTTGTCTGTCCGCTTTCACAAAACCAACAAGGATTAAGCAAGAATGAAGGTTGCAGATGCTCAGATGAATTACAATTGTGTAACTTATGATTTGTAAGTTTCTACTTAATACATGTCTCGCAAGTGCAGTTCAATTCTTCTTCTATTGTCAAATATAGAAAAATACATTGCATGTTCAAGGTTCTTTTGAATACAGCCTCTACCTTCTCAAAGGTAGGGGTAAAGTCTGCATACATACTTCTCTCCCTAGACCCCACTTGTGAGAATACACTGTGTTTGTTGTTCCTACATTGCATGTTTAAGGGACATCATCACACAAGGTCTGGTTGAGATCTTCTCTTGTCCTTTTTCTTTTTGGTGTCTTCAAAACTCAAAAACTAAATAAAGTTGGAAATTGATTCTCTTTTCAAGCTGCATTTTAAGGGAATGAGACATATCTTTAGTGTGAGACATGAAAATAATGCCAGGTGAATGCTCCAATAAAACTAGGCATAGCCATTGTCGGGATTATGGTTTGTTTAGGATCTTCATTACTAGTGCTCTTTAAAATACCGTTAATAGGGAAAAGGTTGAGTATTTTTCATCATTACATAGTTCTAAATTGATGTAACCTCTAGTCTCTTGCGGCAGATGAAGATAATTGTAAAAATGTTGAGTATTTTTCATCAAATGACTGTGTTTTGAAAGAGTATCAGCAGGGAAATTGGCCTCTCTAAAGACATGATTGCATTGAAAAAAATCAGTCATTTTAATCAAGTCTTGAAGTTCCATGATATTTTTGTAGATGCTCCAAGGAGGGGATACTTTCTTGCTTGAGCAATTTCACTAAAAGTTCAGAATCTACTTCCAAAATGATCCTACTATACCCATGTTGAATACACCAATTCATCCCAAAGGCTGCAGCTATAACTTCTGCTTGATTGTTTGAACCCACACCTAAAGGTAGGCATAGATCAGTTTGCCTTTATGATCTCTCAGTAGGTCCCCAGCTCCAATCCTACCTGGATTCTCCAGAGCACTACCATCAGTATTTAATTTAACTATGGACTGAGGAGGTTTCCACCAGTTTACTTGAGTGACCTTTATATCATGTTGACAGTTCTCCACCAGAGAACTGAACTCATTCCAGTTGTTAGGCCATTTGATGGATGGATAAGTAGTGATAATAAGCATGTGAAGCTCCTTGGAGATAAAGAATTTGACTCTAGTTGTACTTGATTGTTTCTCACCATATTTACTAGCACACTTATTCTTCCAAAGGTTCCAGCAAATGAAAATGGGGGTGCCTTTCATTATGAGCTTGTAAACTTCATTGTTAGGTTTAGTAATCCACCAATTCATCAGCATCCTCCTCATAGGGGTTCTGCTATGTTGTACCCCCAGCCTGCTAGCAAAATGCTTCCAAATATGCTTAACAAATTTTCCAGAAATGAAAATATGATCAACATCTTCCTGGAATGTAACAACCTGAACAATTTGCAGTAGAGTGTCCAAAGGCACTAATTTTGTCATTTGTTTGGGAGCTTGAGTCTGAGTGCTCTCCATAATAAAAAGGAGACCTTGAAAGGAATAGCTTTATGCCAAATTAGGGATTCAGTTGAAGTCCTATTCCTTTTCTTCCTCACATGCTCCCATGCTGAAGCACAAGTGAAACTCCCACTGGTAGTAAGTTTCTAGATGGCTTGATCTGGGATGTCTTGTTGCACTCTAACATTAGTATTGAGGATTTTATGAATGAGTTGTTGAGGTGCACGCTGTCTTATTTTATCCTCATTCCACTCTCCATTAACAAGGTAGCTGGAAACTGTGACATTATTTAGACTGGGAAGGTAATCAGGGGCGGAGGTACACTATGCTCAGGGTGTCCAAATTGGACACCCTTCATCAGAAAATTACATCGTATATATAAGTAAAATTATACTTTAAATGGTTAAATACGACATTTTGGACACCCTTAAGCACAGTAAAGTTTCTTAGCCCAGCGGTATCTTTGCCCAACGTGAAGTTTTATTAATGTGCGCACGCACGGGTTCGAATCCCAATTGCTGCATTTGTTGTTACATTTTCAAAAAGCTCCTAATTAATTTCTAATTATAGTTAATAAATCAGTTATGTTTTTAATAATTCAAAATTAATATTATCTATTAAAATCTTAATTAGAGACCTAATCATATTTAATAAATATGTTATTTTTTCAACAATTCAAAACTCATTATCTATTAGAATAATCTCAAATTAAAGACCTACAAATTAAAAATATAACAAAAAATAAAATTAAAGCATAGTAAACATTAAATTTTAATCACTTTTTCTTTTCACTAAAATTTTAAATAAAATTTAAAAGTAATTGTTTAATTTAAATTTAATAAGCAAATTCTATTTTTTTTCTATAAAGCTACTAAAGGTGAAAAAGGCTCTATATAGAATTTCTTTTTAGAAAAACTCGTTTGATTTTACTCTTTATTTTGCATATCTTGTTGTTAATTCACCAAAGGTTGGTGAAATCTTGAAGTATAAAAGTGATTTCATTATAAACTGAATTTTCTCTCTCTTTTTTCTTTTTCGTTCACTTCCTATTAAATAAACATGAAAATTCAAGCTAAATTTTATGTGGTTTGATTTTAAAAATTTTAGTATATTTTTTTATTTTAAAAAATTAATTGTTAATGAATGTTACGTAGTTTGATTTCAAAATTTTTGTGCACCCATCGTTAATTTTTTTTTTTTTACCTATGCAATTCTTGGACACCCTTCGTGAAATTTCTGGCTACGCCACTGAAGGTAATCACTGTGATTTGCTAGAGATCCTACCCCAAGCCAGTCATCCCACCAAAAACTGCAACTTCCAGAGTTAATAGTCCATTGAATGTGAGGTTCAACTTCCTTCCTGTTAATGATCATATTCTTCCATATGAGAGATTGTCCAGAGTTCCATTTTTTAATGACAAGATTAGCATCTACAAATTATTTTCCAAAGTATTGACAGAGAGGCTGAAAGGAGTGTTCTCCAATCTGGTGGATGTTCAGCAAATGGCTTTCATCAAAGGCAGACAAATCATGGATGCAGTTTTAGTGGCAAATGAAGCAATAGACTCAAGAGTGCAACAAAAGAAGCCTGGTATCCTATGCAAACTAGATATAGAAAAAGCATATGATCATGTAAACTGGAGTACTTGCTATGTATGCTGAAGAAGTTGGGCTTTGGGAAAAAATGGATACATTGGATCAGATTTTGTATATCCACTGTTAGTTATTCTGTGTTGATTAACGGATCACCTACTAGCTTCTTTAAGGCTCAAAGGGGTCTCAGGCAAGGAGATCTTATGTCTCCTTTGTTGTTTATCATTTCCATGTAAGGACTGAATACTATGTTAAAAATAACTAATATGTATGGATGGATAAAGGGTTTTGAGGTAGCTAGGGTTGGGAGTGATAGCCTAGAGGTGACTCATTTGCAATATGCTGATGATACCCTCATATTTTGTGATGCTGATAGAACCAATTGAGACATCTCAGAATAATCTTAGTGCTCTTTGAAGGCATCTCAGGCCTTCACATAAACTGGGGTAAGAGCTTTCTTTACCCCATTAATGATGTGCCCCACATGAATTCGTTGGCATATATTCTAGGAGGAGAGGTAAGGTCTTTGCCAACCCTTTATCTGGGAATGCCTTTGGGGGCCAATTCAAAGTCTATTGAGATTTGGGATACTATTATTGAAAAATGTGAAAAGAAATTAGCAAGATGGAAGACCCAATACTTGTCAAGTGAAGGTAGACTGACTTTGATCAACTCAGTCCTTGATGCACTTCCAACATACATGATGTCCTTGTTTCCCATTCCATCAAGAGGTTGGATAGAATTAGGAGGAACTTCTTATGGCATGGTGACAAAGAGAAGAAAGGCTACCATTTGGTCAAGTGGAACTCAGTCATTTGTGCAAAAAAATGGGGTGGTTTGGGCATCAAGAACCTGAAAATCCAAAGTAAAGCTCTAATGATGAAGTGGTTGTGGAAGTTCACCAAAGAAAACCACTTATTGTGGGGAAGAGTAATTAAAGCCAAATATGAACAAGAGGATAGTTGGATGACCAAGGAAGTCAATACTCCATATGGGGTCAGCCTATAGAGGTCTATCAGATCCCTCTGGAGTGAGTTGAAAACTCAATCAAGAATCAAAGTGGCAAATGGAAACAAAACTAGATTTTGGAAGGATAATTGGCATGAGATTGGTATCATGAAACTGGTCTTTCCGGATATCTTCAACCTAGTCCTTCACCAACAGAAAACTATAGCTGAAATGTGGATATCTGATGGGTGGAGCTTGAATTTTAGAAGACATTTCAATGATTGGGAGGTTCAAAGAGTGGCTGATTTCCTCAGCAAACTTGATCAATTTCCTGGGGTTCAAGCTGGTGAAGATCATTTATGGTGGCAGGGCAACTCCAAAGGCATTTTTAAGGTTAATGCTGCATATAAAATTATGAACCAGTCCAACCACCAGATAGCAAGCTGGCCATGGAAGCAGATTTGGAGGATAAAAGTTCCCCACAAGGTATCAATTTTGTATGGTTACTAGCAAAGGAGGCCACTTTAACACTGGACAACTTGATGAGCAGAGGTATGACACTGTGCTCAAGATGCTTCCTGTGTAAAGAAACAGCTGAGACAGTCAACCATCTATTTCTGCATTGTCCATTCACAGCTCATTTGTGGAGAATCATCCTAAACCATAAGGGTATAGCATGGACAATGTCAGGCAAGATAACAGAGGCCCTTAGCCGCTAGGAGGGAACATGTTCACATGCTAAGGATAGGAGTAGATGGAGAATTGTCCCAACTTGTATCTGGTGGACAATTTGGAAGGAGAGGAATTCCAGATGTTTTGAGAGCTTAGAGAATGATGTGCAGAAGATCAAGTTGAACTTCATCTTACAGCTATGTTTTTGGTGTAATCAAATTTACTCTAATGATACTATGTCTATCATAGATGTTCTAGATTCTTTATAGCTAGAGAGGAAAGACACTAGAGCTCTATTGTAAATATGATTTCAGTACTACCCAAGTACTGTTTTGATCCTTGATATGATACAAAGTTACTGATAGAAAAAAAAAATGACAGGATTTGCTCTTTGACAATATTTGGCTTTGAGGAAGTTACCCCAAAGGGACTTTTTGGATCTGAACCATTGTTTATAATGCAGAGATAAACAAATATCGCCAAGATTCTTCATACCAATTCCACCTTCTTCACAAGGAAAACCTGGAGTTTCCCAAGATGCCTAATGGTAATTTCTTTGGTCCTTCTCCCACCACCAAAAGAAGTCAGCTACACCTGATCTGTTTGAGGGTAGTAGTCGTAGGGATGATAGTAGTTAGCAGATGTATGGGAATTAAATATAAGACAGATTTGATAAGAGTAGTTCTGCCCCCATAGCTTAACATTTTGGTTTGCCATCCTTTGATTCTGGCAATAACTTTAACCACCATGCCAGTGAAATAAATAATCTTTTGACGACCAATATATAAAGGACAACCCAAATATGTGATTGGCCCAAAAGTGTGACTAAAACCAGTAATAGCTTTAGTTCTTTCAATGACATCAGGAGGTGTTTTTTCTGGAATAAGTAGCTGACTCTTCTCCTTGTTCATAAGCTGTCCAGAAGTTGTTTCATACATCTGCATAGCATAATAAGCTTCGAAGAGTATTTGCTAGTTGATGTGAAGATTATTATATCATCTGCAAAGCTCAAATGATTTACTTGAGGACCATTTCTTTCCATATGAAAGCCCTTATAGAGATAGTGTTGATGAAGATTGTTTAGCATCCTAGTAAGGACCTCTGCACCAATGATAAAGAGAGCTGAGACAGAGGTTCACCTTGCTTGAGACCTCTTGTAGGATGGAAGAAACCATGTCTAGAACCATTGATAATGATAGAGTACCAATTGTTTGACATAAGTCTCCAAATCATGTCAATGATCATTTCTCCAAAACCCATTCTTCTCATAACTAGACATGTATAGGACCAAGAAACCATGTCATAAGCTTTGGCCATGTCAAGTTTTCTGACCACATTGTCTCCTGTCTTGGGTTTATTTATATCGTGAATAAGCACCTAAGCTAGCATAATATTTTCATAAATACTCCTTCCTTGAACAAATCTAGACTAGTTCTCAGAAATAAGACGAGGCAGGATGGGGGCTAATCTGAGATATAGCAGCTTGGAAATAACCTTGTTGGTGCCCCCAAGGCCTAGCTCGAGTGGCAAAAGGTGGAGGATCTGTGGCTTAGGTCGCAGGTTCAAGCCCCACATCATGCAAAGCGAAGCCTGTTATTTAAATGGAGAAGAGTAGAGGGGGGACCCATTATCCACCGAGTTTAGAAGGCTGTAATTGGTCTAAAGGGCAGGTCACACAGATTTCTCAGTTATAAAAAAATAACCTTGTTGGTAAAATTACTGTGGAAGATAGGTCTGAATTCAGAAAACTTATTAGGATGATTCACTTTTGGGAGTAACACTAGGCAAGCATGAGAAATAAATTTAGGAATACTGTGGCCACAAAAAAAATAGTTGTATCATGTTAATGAGATCATCACTGATGATATACCAGCAGGAATGGAAAAACATGCCACTCATTCCATCAGGAACAATTGCAGAATTAACACTCATTGACTAGATAGCCTGTTTCAGTTCCCTTTTTGTTGGCATGTCCTGGAGTTTTTGGTTTTGATACTCAGTGATCGTGCTAGGAATGCATCTAAGGACTTCCTCATTGATCAGGTTATCAAACCCTAAAAATGACTTCCACCCCAAATAAAATGACAAACATTAAACAATATTCTTAACAATGTGAATTGAGCTTGACCAAAAGTCAATAATATCCCCATATTATGAGTATTTAAGAGCCAAACAAGATTCTAGAAATCAACACACATAAAACATAAATTTGAACTATATTATTCGAACTTTTCAAAGTATCAACAAATACGTCTCAAATCTTTCTAAAATAGTACATTTCTGAAAATCCAACATAAATACGATAACATTTTTAAAGAGTCTGATCAACATAAAACTCGAAGTGCAAAGGCATACCAGCTTTATTGGGCAAGTTTCTCCATTGACCTTCACAATTTTCCTTAATATAATTTGTAAGTAATAAGTCTTCTTTTGTAGACCAGTGATCATGCTAGGAAGGCATCTAAGGACTTGCAATATTCTCATCCCCCTTGATAGTATTACCATGATAATCACTGATTTTGTGGATAAACAACTTACTTCTCCTGCCTCTGATAATAGCATGGAAATACTTGGTGTTTGCATATCCATCTTTAAACCACTGCAGCTGAGTTTTTTGTTTGAGAGTGGATTGCTCAATTTCTAAGTATCTGATGCATTGAGCATTAATCTGATTGAGCTTGGTTCTATATTCCTCATTGTTGTCATTGATGATATCTGCTTCAGCACTTTTAACCTTCTCCTCATACTCCTTAACACTGTTAAAAATATCTCCATATTCCTGTCCAGACCAGTTGCTAAGAGTATTGGTCACTCTTTTCAATTTTAGCTGAAAAATTCTCATAGGTTGCCTTCAACTGGTCTTTCCCAGCAAGTTTTCACAATATCCAGAAACTTTGGATTGTCCACCCAAAAATGTAGGAATTTGAAGTATTTACTAGTATTGGTATTTCTGTCAACACTTTCCAGAAGCAGGGGACAGTGGTCAGAACCAGTTGAGGCTAAGTGAGTGATATTAGACATAGGCAACACCTCTATCCATTTATCATTGACCATTGCTCTGTCCAGTCTCTTCCAAATTCTAGCTTCACCATCTCTGTGATTACACCAAGTGAATTTTTGTCCATGGAATCCCAAGTCAGTTAGTCCACTGGCTTCAATAACACTAATGAATTCAAAAAATTTATTCATGTTGTAAGGTAGTCCTCCCATCTTTTCATCAATATGACTGATCACATTGAAATCTCCTATAGTGCACCAAGGTTTGTCCAATCTAGAAAATTGAAGCATCTTGTCCCATAGGTCTCTTCTCATATGATCTTTATATTTAGCATAGACAAAGTGAGGAGGTAAGAAGTCTGTCAAGCTACATGCTTAGCTTCACAAGTAACCTGCTGTTCATCTTGATCCAAAATTTTACAGTCAACATCTTGGTTCCAAAATAACCAGATCTTACTGTTGGAATTGGGAGTAGCATTGTCCATCCTAAGCTGATTTTATAATAGTTGAGCTGATGTTTATTGGTTTTGGGTTCAAGAATTGCAATCATAGAGAGATTGTAGTAATCCTCAAGTTTTTGGAGTCTATCCGAAGCACCTTGAGTGCTAATACTCCTAGCATTCCAACTAATTGTACTAATCATCAATGTTTTTGGGATTTGGACCTGGTGTTGATGTTACTTTTGGCAGTAATTGTATTAGCAGAGTTGCTGATAATATTTTGTATGTTTTTCTCTTTCTTCTCCTTTTGACCTCTAGGTGATAAACCTGCCTTCTGAGTTACTTGTTGAATTTCATCCTGACAGTCAGAATTCATGGTGGATCCAAAGGCTTTCAGTAGATGAGCACTAGTTTCATCATCATCTTCATGTTCTTCCAATTGATCAGGATCATACTCTTCTTCATAATTGACCACCCTATAATCATCATTATTGTCCTCAGTTGTATTACTATCACAATTCACAAGGATTATCTTTGGTCTGGAGGGGAACTGCATGGCTACCTACTTGCTCCTTAACCAACTCATAGTCCACATTCTGATGCATTTCAACATTTCTTTTTTCTTCCATTGCTTGTTTCTTTTTTATAGCATCTCTCTTTTATTAACTGAGAGCCAGCGTAGATTTATTGTTGAGCATTTGGGGACTTTTTCTCTGTGTCTGCTGTTTTGAACCATCATTTTGAGTTGGTTGGTAGGTTGATCTTTGTTGCATACTTGACTGCTTAGGGACATTCACACTGGTAGATATAGTGGGATCTTCAGAAGGTGTACCTTCAATATCATCAATATGTACCATATCTTCCTCTCTCTTTTCAGTATCAAGCATATCATCTTTAGTAGCCTTTTCAATACCAATGATATCATACGTTTCTTCTTGTAACTGAGACTGGATCAGCATTCTTAGAGGTAGTAGGAGCTCTAGGGTCGGTCTTAGGGTCAATCAAATTCTCATGCATAACATGAGACAATTCCCTCCCTTTGGACACCCCTTCCTACAGATTTGTAGTTTCCTCTTGAATCCCTCCATCCATACTTCCCTCCATTTTAGGAGTCCATACTAAAATCTCATCAGCTGACCTTCAACATACCTCTCTCAGCTGGAGATCTCCCATTGCCCTTATCTCCAATCCCTTCCACTAAAAGGGATGCCTCTTCCCTCTCTAAACTATCTATTCGCTACTGTCCATTGCTCAGTCCACTACTAGAATTTGACAAGGGGGAATACTGGCCAAATATTGCTCAAATTCCCATCATAGACATCGATCGGGAATGCCTGTAATGATTAAAAGAATAGCTCTCCAACTGATGTAAGCTATTCTTTTCCCTCAGAAGCTTCTTATTTCTGTTTACTTCACTTTGCTTTTTTGTTAATTCTCTTCATTTTTAAATATTTTGTGCTCATCGCCAAACACATAACCTCAATAGAGAATCTAAATTTTTGAAAAGATAAGGGATAATTATGTTGTGCTCATCATCAAACACATAGATTTATATAGTTGTATATTTCTTGGATGGGGCAGGTACTGGATTCGTTTCTCATTGCTTATTGGTTTATGCTCTTACCGTGTTTTAATTCACGTCTCAATTGCGAAAGAAATCATATGTAGCTTGTGCCACCATGTTTAATAGAAAGTCTTTAGTTCTTGTAAGCATCAACGGAAACTTTTCTTAACAGTAGAATGTTTAATACATTGTATTTGCACTATCCTTCAATGTTTGCATAAAAATCTTCTCTTGCATATACTTTTGCAATTTTAAACTTCATTTTGAACTGTGTTGTTGCTAACTTAAACATGTTCTGTGCTTAATCAGATGTGGATTTTGAAGGGCGAGTACGACAAGTCTGGTCCATCCATTGTCCACAGGAAGTGCTTCTAAGGTGCTGCTGCTATTTTTACATCTGTTCGCGAGTTCTTTTTTATTGTTTTGTTCTTTCCGCTAAAGCTATTATGTCGTCCACAGTGAACTCAGATCTACTGTTATAGGCAAGTCTTTGAGATGCGGCTATCAAAGAAGGGCGATTAAAATCATTGTACCGCTGATACTATTTCATGTTTCCAGTGCAAGCCTCTTTTGTAAGTTGACAAATTCGATTTTGTAAATATGTTTGGGACTCAACTAGTGGTTAGAGTAATGATTTTGTAAGATTTGTGTACAAAAAATCAAATTAGAAAGATAACTCGCGATGATTGAATAAGCTCGAAGAAGTGGATTTGAATTTCAAATCGTGTCTTTCTTTTATTTTATGTGTGTGAGAAATTTGAAGTGTTGTTTAGATTTGTTGGAATAGTCTAAAGAGATTCTCTCTATAAAATTTGAAGTCATTTGATGGAGATCGGATTAGATGATTTTGAACAATTGCAATTGAAAATGGATATATTATTTTTGTAGTTAGCAACGTGCTATATATTTTTTATAGTGGATATATTGTATTTTTCAATTCGGTGATTGATATCCACATTGGAGTACGACTAAATTTGGATTTGCGCATTTCAAGGGGCGGCGCTCCTGACATGATTTTTTCCATTCCACGACTCGTGCTCCTAAATTCTAATTAAAGGTAGAAAAATCTCAACTATTTCACCACAACTCATATCAGTTATATTGGATATACAAGTGTAAACTAAAAAATATAACTATGTAGGTGCAAATATTTTTGAAAAAACCCCAAATAACAAGCCAAAATAAAGAGAGAATACTAAATCCTACACTCCTTAACTACAACAACTAAAAATATTAGCCATTGAACTCCTATGCACATTCTATTGCAAAACATAAGTAGAAGAACCTCAAATTTTGGCCATGAAATGGCACCATTTTCTCACACTCAAAAATGATCTTAAATTTCATGAATGAAACAATACATATTACTTAGGTTGAAGCCCCATTTTCTTCCTCGTTTTCCCAACGTATAAATCCTTAGACTTGATCATACCAGGGACTAATCCAAGGATCGTTGTGAACAAAAATTGAGCCACTGCATCTTGCCTTCCTAACGAAACGAAGAGCTTAGGCTATGATCTAGGCTCGTATATTGCAAGTTTGCTTTCTTTTCCTCCGCTCATATATCGAAAGTTTCAAGTTCTTCGCAGCCACTAGAGCATGTTTTTTAGCTGAATGTCCTTCTTTAAGTTCCTGGTAATGAAGAAGCATTAAAATTCATTTGAAGAATAATAACAACAACAACATACACAGTATTGATGAGAAAGTAGAGTTTACACAGACCTTACTCCTACCTTTTCAGGTAAGAATTCAAATGAATAATAGAACTTCAAGTCCTCTGGCTACTGCTATATTATCAGAAAGATTCAAGATGCCTTTTAAATAGACTCTACGCTGACCTTACCTCTTGCAACATCATATCAAGTGTAATCCACAAATGAGGTCTAGGGAGGGTAGTATGTACCATGACCTTTCCCGTATCTTGGAAGATAGAAATGTTGTTTTTGATAGACCCTCGGTTGTAGTTTCTCTATTGCAACAATACTTAAAAAAATCACCACCCTTCATATATGCTCGAAGGATGCAGCCCATGATTTTTTTCGTACTCAGACTAATAACAATCTAAGTCATTTCACAAATAAAATGTGATAAATTAACCAATCATTATTAGGCCAATGATGCTCTCTTTTAGGTTTACCTACATGGCAAAGGAAAAATGAAAGGGTAGAATAGACTAATCCTAAATCAAAGGGTCGAGGAACTCAATACCAACATTCTCGAACAACTTGGAGCAGGGCCTTCTTTCCACACTGATAAGTCTTAATGCTCCCAGTGTTTTGATGATCTCCTCACAAGTGCAGGGACCCGGTCCTTTGCAGAGTATGCTCATCCAAGACCATATGTTATACATCTGGCAAGCTATCGCGTCAGAGTTTGGTGAGGTCGTCAGTGTACCACACTAATAAGATAGGACGAGGTTGTTTGTACATCGGTCAATAACTCTTAATGGTTGATAAATTCAACATCACAAACAACAAATCATTCATTCATGCAAAGAGAGAGATTCAAGCTTCTAAACAGCAAGGGACCTAATAGATTACTTTATTGCTTCCTCAACTAGTTGGTACTTTGATTGCTTGTATTTGTGCTTATATTGTAGGAATAGTTTCGCTTGTGATAGAAACGTTTTAACCTTGGGTGAATCATTGTAAGAACTTAGTTGAGGGCAACTTAGTGTCTTACGTTAAAGTCTATATTAATCAGTTGGGTTAGTATAGTGGGCAATGCATGCATTGCTTTGGCTCATTGAGTGATAGTGTATTACTCAGAATAAAGATTAGTAGGCTAATCTCATGTGTGTTGTAAATTGGGTTTTACTTTGGCTTGTGAAGTTTAGTAAAAGCAATTTGAAAATCCTGTGAGACAGGTCGTGGTTTTAATCCCTTGAGCAAGGAGGTTTCCACGTAAAGTGTGTGCGCTACCTTTACTTTCAGTACTTATTTTCTGTTCATTATAATTGTGTTGAGGACCTGGTCCTATCATATTTAGTGGACGCATACATTCCAACACGCACTATTACTAATATGAAAATAATGGTCAAAATTGGATTCAATTGTCAATTGCCCCCATTGGTAATACATGAGTGACTATTGATTCATAATGAACTAGAGTTACATCTTTTTTCCATTCAAGAGCTCTTACGAGTTTTCACGACCTTTTAAGACCACGAGAAATGGATAAATTTCTGTTCTTAGGAACACATACAAGATTCGTCACTACAAAAAGGATACATTTTCAAGAAATAAAGATATGTAGTTTAGTGCTTACCTTAATATCAGTTATATCTCCAACAACAAATATGTTTCTATGACCCTTGATTCTAAGATTTTCATCAACCTTCAATCTTCCAAAATTATTGATTCGATCCTTCAAACATGTCTCCCTTAACCACTCTAAACCCGGTGGCTTTCCCGTGCAAAGAAAATGGCAATCCGCTCTGATAGTTTCCCAGACGAAGTGAAATGTGTTTTGTTTCCACCTGAGTTGTTCGTCTTATTACTCAAATCGACAGATTGCATCAATTTCACTTCCACATTCTTGTTCTTTAACCATTCTAAAGTCTTGTCAGACACTTTTAGACCGATGAACTCTAGTAATCTAGATCTGTCGTGCGCCAAAGTTACCTTCTTCTGAGGAAAATCGACAGCGATTTCTGCAGCAAGTTCAACACCAGTAGGACCGCCACCAACAATCAATATAGAATCATCTTCTTTTATCTTTTCATTCTCCGCAACAACAAGAATGATGCAAAAAATTAGTCTATAATGTGAACAGGACAATCGCAAAAGAAAAGATGAATCACTAGTTCATCTCAACATTCACAACAAGACAATTGACTGGATGTGCACAAGTAGACACTTAAATTTGTATAAAGTTGAATAAATAGACACAAGCGTCCTACGTGACATCTTATATGATAATAATTTTCATCCTACGTGATGTCCTATGTGTATTATACCACGTAGGGCTCATGTGTCTACTTGTTCAACTTTATACAAGTTAAAGGTTGGAGGGCATAAATATAAAATAAGACCAAGTTAAAGGGCATATTATTCAAAATTTAAATTTTATAGGGTTTGAAGTTTCAATTTCATTGATGGATAATGTTACAATTTTAGTGCAACACAATGAAACTTGGAATTCAATCAACTACAATAATTATCACTTAGATGCAATTTTAGTCAATTTTACTTCCAATTTCACAAATTTGAGTCACAAATTTACCTTTTTTATCTTTGGCGGAATGTAATGGATGGTTCTAGATATATGAAGAAAATGTATTTATTAGTGTAAATTTACTTCTTTACCCTGGGTCGTTCTTGGTCTTCACATTTCTACATAGTAGATAGTAAAAACATACAAGAGGTCATTTCGAGATAATTTAACATACATCTAAAAGCATCCAAACAATGATATACCTGGCCTCAACTATTAGTGAGTTTTAATTATTGTTTTTTCTTGATCGGATTTTGGTAACAATAGGTTATTTGCTTAGTTGGTGAAAGTTTTTATTTTCAATATAAATATGTGAATTTGGTGGCATGTGGTCCCCAAAAAACTATAGGTCAACTCTTTTTTCCCTTTTTAAAAATAGGAATAATACATAAACAATTCTTAGTACACGTTAGAACGTACTATAAGCTTAGAGTAATTATTTAATTCTACACCATCACTCCACATAATTGCCACTATACTAAAAAGTCAATCCTCCCAATTTGAAATCATCCATTTATTCCAACCTACCCAATAAATTAAAGCTTGACGCAATCCTCCTAATTTGAAAAGTATTTATCTGAACATTTGACATGTATTTATTGGTTTATTGTAAATAACAAATACAAATAAGTTTTCACCTAATCTGAGTATGTCTGGTAATAATTTAGGCATAATACATAGATATAACCCTTAACTTGGCTTCAAATTATAACTTTGACCTTTAACTTTGATAGTGCACAAAGAGACACTTTAACCATCCAAAATTTAAACAAAAACCCACTAGAATATTTCAGACAAAATGCGTGATATACAAATTGTCACGCCACGAGGCTATCCCCTTGACGTAACACGGGACCTAGGATCACGAGTGACCCCAAGCTAACCCTGAGTCTGGCATATCATAAGCATACTAAAAACACTGAATATGACAAATACTGTGCGGAAGCTAAACAATAGATAACTAAATAATGGGGAATACCCAACTAGTCTGAATGTATTAAACATATTAAGAGTTTAATAACACTGAAAGATCAAACTTAACAAGACAAGCTGATACTACTACTACTATGTCTGAAAAGCCTCTAACTGAGTTGATTTGCTGGGACATGCCCTCCAGCTAACTCTAACAAAATTGAAAAATGAAAGTAAAGATTAAAATGAAAGCATGTCTATTGTCCTAGGAATTTGAGGACTCACCAGTGAAGTTGCTGAGTGCAGACCGAGAATCGATCTAAGCGCGATTTGGATGCTGAGTACCTGAACCTACATCATAAAAGGATGTAGCGCAGAGTATGTGTCAGTACTTTGAATGAACTGAGCATGCAGGATATAGATACTAAGCTGAACAAACATATATAAGCTAAAACAAGGCATAACTGAACAATACTGCAAACTGAGCAAGAATGTAAATACTGAAAAGCTAAACTAAATGCAATGACCAAGTACTAATCATGAACATGACATGCTAAACTGAATACTAAAGTATATAATGAAAACCTGATCAAATGCACTAAGAGTCTGACTGTGGGATCTACTATTAACAGACATAAAACCACGCTAGCTAAACGTGGAGTCCAATGTATACGCCCCATCGAGAGGACCCAATACCTTGCGA